GGGTTGGGGGGGGGGGGGCTGAAAAAATCCTCAAGGTCTCCTTTAAAATCCCCCTTACCCCGCCCCCTTTTTTTCAACCACGCATTCCCACTTACGATTATGTTCCCTCCTCGCCACTACATTCCTTTGCGCTGCTCTTAGCCCGTTAAAATCTCTTTTTCACCTTGACATCGATGTTGCTGCCGGATGAAATTTGAAATGACCGGAGTAAACTTGGTGAACTCTTCCTCGGACAGGTAAGGTGAACGTAACTTAAAGTCCTTCAGAGCTTTAATTTGTAGTCAATAGGGAACAAGGCTACTTTTGTATGACCATATGGTATTATTGGCATTATCGAGAGATTGTTATCCAGTATTTGCCGGAGTTCATTCCAGTGTTCCAAAGAAAGGAACTCCCGAATCCATGTCACTGTGCATTAGGAAAAGTCATGTCCATTTCCAGTTCAAGGCAAACTATTGTGACAGGATCCAATGACGATGTTGAGTATGTTTCGATTGAGAAGGGGTAGCTTGCCACATAGCTTCCCACCCACACAACTTTCTCATGCTTCACCACCAAATAGACCGGTTGTTTAGTTTTCTTGTAAAAGTAAAATATGGGCCCTCGGGGTAGCGACCAACTATGCGTTTCCTCGTGTGAATTAATCTGCGTGGGCACATTCATATATTTTTGGACATTTGTTTTTAATCAGTGTGATTAATATTATCATAAATACATTTTTTTTTCAGATTACAGTCAACTAACACGTGAGATAGAACTACAAAAACGTGTTGTAATGTCTAATAATCGTAGTGGTAATAGTTATAAACCGTTATGTGAATGTAGACATTTGTTTTTGAGAATTATTAGTTATTAATTATTCACTCATAGTTATGCCAAAATATAACACGATTCACTTAAAAGCAAATCTCTTTTATTCATTACTTATTCGTATGAATACTGTCCTAAGGTCGTGGGCTAAAATGTTAACATTTTTTTCGTGAATCATGAATTACTCATGACTATATTTTGTTTGCACGTTTGTTTGAAGTGTTTCTTCAACATGCTTCTATAGGCCTTTCAACTCATTCACTCAACAAAGTCTCGGAATGAAAATGCTCAGTCAATATACGTTGGATTTTGCATGCATTAAATTTTCTTTGTAACATTTTATCCCTCAAACCAGCGACATTACTGTGTGTCTCAAGATCTGGAAATGAAAAGCAATTCAGTTGCCTACATTGTCATTTGATTTTTTTTTTCATGATGACTAATCCCTTACAGTAACTCATATGTGATGGAAAAAAAAACAATTAAACAAAGGAACAGAATACATCTAAGCATTAGGAAGTTGTTTTTCAGTTTTCTGTTTTTCCAGCTGGCTATTGCCAAGAGCTCTGCTAAGCTCATGGAATTTACTCACTTGAAAACAGTAGGCCGACTTTAATAATTCTGTGAAGCACAGCAGTTTGGTTTTAAGACCGTTTCAACCGAGAGAGTAATGGTTCTTCAGAAATCAGCAGGCCTGCTTGTCTGGTCATATGAGTGTGCATTCCTAGTCTAATTGACCAGTATTTGTCTTCACATGAATATGATTAATCAATTTAGAAAGGGGAAAACAATATATCCACAGATGTCTGCATCGTGGCAATATTAAAAGACGGAACAACAAAGACTTTGGGGTTTTGTGCTGAATAATGGGATATTTCTGTTGGAGAGGCTCAGCTATCAACAGCTGTCTCTGATTATTCTGAGAATGTGGGGCTTTTGTGCAGGGTACGTGATGACTTCTTCCAATCCTTTTCCTCTCTCAGTTGAACTCCTTTGGCAATGTCGCAGCCCCCTCTCTGATGAGACGATGAGAACCCACACTCGTGGGGCCCCCACAGTCTTCCTCTTAAGTCTGCTGTTGCTCCTGCTCTCTCCGGCTGCAGCAGACCTAAGTGGGGGAATCCCCTTCATGGGAGGCAACTACAATGGGCACCCAATGCTGTATTTCGATCGGACGGACATTGTAGAACTTCAGATGGCTGCCGGAAGCACTCATAGGGAGATGGCAAGACGGATCCGCGAGGCCGGGGAAACTATGCTGGAACGCCCAGAAGAGTACCTGCCTCCCTGGAGCCCGATAGAGTTCAGTGCCAGATGGAATGAGGTTTATGGAAACAACCTGGGTGTGCTCTCCATGTTCTGCCTGCTGTACCCACACAGAGCTGGAGCACTGGATCTTGCCAAAGACTACATGGAGAGGATGGCAGCTCAGCCTAGTTGGTACATTTTCATCCTGTTTAATTATCTCATTTCTGAAAATAATATCTCATGCTAGAAAAGTCTTGATAAAAATAAGTTACTAAAAGTATTGCTCCATAACTGACAGGTGTCTTTTGTTGCCCAAGCTTTGTCCTGTTCATTGATTTATTCAAAGAATAGATCGTTCTCAATGCTAAGCATAAATCTTATTTTCAGAGTTGTATTTTATCTCTTGTAGACTACATTTACACTGTGAGGTGAAAAAGAAAGTTGTCCGAGGGTCGAAAAATAAGCAATTGTAAAGCTGAGATAAGATAAGAAAATGAGCAGATAGTAAAATACGTCCAAGTCATCGCACAACATTGACCTTAGCCAGCACCACCATTTGGAATGTCCAGAAGAAGAAAAATAACCACTGGTAAAAATAAAAGAAAGAAAAACAGTAGTTGATGACATTTTGAGAGCTCACCTGAACTCAACTTTCTATATAGAGCACTTTAAAACAACCACCGCTGCATACAAAGTGCTGTGCATTGAGCATAATAAATAATCATACTACAACGACTGTTAAAACAATAAATTAACAACAAAAGACAGTGAAACACCACAAAACACTAAAACAATACAGTCTACCAAAAATCATAAACCAAAACATAATTCATTTTCTCACATCTTGGTATACTGCAGGCAAAATGCTTAAAAAAAAAACATTTTAAAAGTCAGTAATGGTCAAGTTATTCAACTGTGGGGAAAAACATGCAGAATATAAATCATGCACTGCATACATAATAAAACCATAAAATTATGATTACACATTGTCTGTTTATTTAATTTTTGAACAGGTTGGTAGGCCAAATGCTACAATTTTTTTTTTCTACTCGCGCATGTGCAAGTCAATACCCGTGGCACTTTTGGAAAAATGCTAGGTTTGTAGCATTTAGCCTACAAGTATCTTCGAACATAGTTGCTAGGATGTTTGAATGTATCTGCGAGAAAGTTTGAACATACTCGCAAATATGTGCGAATCTACTCACAAGTACTCACTTTCCTTTTCGGTACTATGGTTATCACACTTTCCATCTTCTCCATCACTAATTCCTCTGTGTGGTGGCATCCCCTCCAAAAATACAAAAACGCGTGAAAAGAATTCTCTGAGCTGAAGTCTCATACTGTTTGACCTCCAATTTATTTCAGGCTATTTTATTTTTTAAGGATGTTATACTTTTGACATCCCATTAATTGTTTTTAATAATAGGTTTATATCATGTTCAGCTCACCTGGCATTTTTTTTTTTTTTTTTTTTTTGTGAGATTCAGTAACAATGCATTGTTCTATGATTAGGCTTTGGTACAGGAAATATGTTTCACAGCTGTTTCCAGAACCCCGTCTCCACCACTGAAAGGAAATGAAACACGCAGATGTGAATCATGTGATTATGAGTTGCCCATTTCAGTTTAATGGAAGACTAAGACTGGGTCGCCTCTGAATGCAAATGTGCAGTGTTGTGCTATTTACACCCCCAAAAAAAAAAATTACAATCAGTTGTGACGGCCCGGTGGTCGACTAGTTAGCACGTCTGCCTCACAGTGCAGCAGTACAGGGTTAGATTCCGGCTCCGGCCTTCCTGTGTGGAGTTGGCAAGCGTGGGCTTTCTCCGGGTACTCCGGTTTCCTCCAACTTTCCAAAAACGTGTGGCAGGTTCATGGAACACTCTAAATTGTCTCGAGGTGTGAGTGTGAGTGCGGATGGTTGTCCGTCTATATGTGCCCTGTGACTGGCTGACAACCAGCTCAGGGTGTACCCCGCGCTTTTGCTACAGCCGTAGCTGTAACAAAGTGCCTGACAGATCATCGACTGGCTGACAACCAGCTCAGGGCGTACCCCGCGCTTTTGCAACAGCCGTAGCTGTAACAAAGTGCTTGACAGATCATCCATCCATCCTTTATCTGATCCACTTTATCCTCACGAGAGTCGAGGGCGTGCTGGAACCCATCCCAGCTGTCTGCGGACAGTAGGCAGGGGACACCCTGAACTGGTTACCAGCCAATCGCAGGGCACACATGGACCGGTTTCGTTCATTTTAAGGGCCGTTCCGGCTGTTGCTCTTCATGGCGTGCGTGCGTGCATATGCGCGCGTGTGCATGGTTGGGCGCTGGCGTGTCTGCGTGCATGCGTGTGTATGTGCTTGCAAGTGCGCGATCGGGTCAATCATGGGAGGTTGGTCCCTTCAAAAGTTGATCTTTGGTCAAAAGAGTTGGCCACCCCTGTTTAGAGTGTTCTACTAACCTGCCATGCATGTTTTTTGGAATGTGGGAGGAAACCGGAGTACCGGGAGAAAACCCACGGAGGCACGGGGAGAACACGCAAACTCCACAC